ACCTAGACCAGGCTTATAATTATTTGTAGACATTCACTTTTCCAAGTGAATCATTACATTTTTAAAAACAGATACTTAATAGTTCAATAACTGATACTGCTGACAAGGCTTTCTTTTAAGTAAACTTTCTGATACTTTTTCTGAACAATCATCTTTGCCACGAAATATAAAATAAAATCCATTAAACCCTTTTGTAAATTATCAGCGTTCTGACGAATTTTGAGTAAAATCGATGCAACTCATTTTAAAGCCTCTCCACTAGCCAGGATAGTCTAATCTTCATTTAATTTCTTCACTAGTGTTTCCTTTCTGGGAACAGGGACTATTCCCAGTGTTAGTAAGAAACTCCCAAAAGAATCCAGCACTTGGTACTAAGTTTGTGTAATATGAAGTACATCTGCAAATGTAACAAAGTTTCTAATTTATTTGAGCATAACAGAAGAGAATAGGGGGGGTGTATCAACAAAAAAAAAATAAAAAAATCCCTCTCCCCCCCAAAAAAAACCCAGAAAAATAACTCCCAAACTGCACCCCACAAAATCCAGCAGGTAAATCAACATCAACTTTTCAGCATTCAGCCTTCAGATATTAAGATGAATGAAGAAACTGAAAAATTCAGAACTATTTTCTCATACTGTCTGTATATCCTGATATAATTCTTCACAACAGTTTGTCAAGCTGAAATTTTCAGTGTTTAGAAACATCAGAATTAGAAATTTTGAAGCATCTACAATGAAAAAAGACACTTTCAAGTACATACTACATATACCATAACATTTCCATGGTATTTAGTAAAGTCTGGATGTTATCCCAGAATTTACTTTCACATACCCATTAGTTTTAGAAGATAATCTAACACTGAAATGGACTGGTAGTGATGCCTCTGAGATCACACATTCAGAGAGTCAAAAGGATATCTGTGGTTTGAAATCACATGCATTCGAATCACTTGCCTCTCTTGCTACAGGATAAAAATAAACAAAGAGAGCCAAAGTAAAAAGGTTGACATCAAAATTGCTACATGTGTTGTATCTGGTAGTTTGCTAATTTTTGAGAATACGGCTTGTCTAGACATGTTAAGATCATTGTTTTAAAGGTAAAAGCCTAGATAAAAATTATCAGCAACTGGACACTCTAAAAACACGCTAAATTAAAGAGGAATTCTAACAGGCAACATCTAAGACAAGCCCCAAAAATATTAGCAATCATACCACACAGAAGTCACTTACTCCAGTCAGTATGTAACTATTTCTGAGACAGTTGTCCTATGCAGAGGCACACAGTAACCAAAGTACGGCTACTGTGAAAAAAAATAGCTAAGACCCAACAATCTTTTAATAAAACTTAAATCAACACTCCTCTATTTACAGTGAAAGAACAAGAAGTTGGAAATTCTAGAAATGTTTATTTTACAGTGAACACTGAAAATGTTTAGCTGTTTCCAGTTACAAGCTGACCAACTCAAAGTAAAGTCGCCATCACTTACACAGTTATGTCGTCAAGACAAACTTTTCTATAAAATCAATTATGAGAAAAATGCTATTAGCTCCCTAACATCTCTCTCTGGCAGGCAGAAAGAATTAAACCTACGCAGCAGGTTAATCTTGATGTTACATGCAGCTTTTTCTGTCAACTTTATAAAAATCTGGAGAAATTAGAAACATTGTGAACCATGCCTTTATCCTCTACCATAATCTTTAGAGAATCTAGCAGCATCACACGTATCCAACTGCATACATGCATGCTATGTCACATAAGCTTTTCTACTGGAAGAATCTCTCTACAATGGCTGCTTTCTCATGAGAATATCTTCCACCCTACATAAACATGCCTCAAAGCTGAGAAACAAGGGTTCCATCCTGAACCATCTGCAGCAGGATTACAAGTTTAATAGAAAAGTATAAAATGCCACTATTTTTTATTTTTTTTTTTACTTCCAGTGACTGTTGTCAGTTTTACTGCCTTTAATGTTGAGAAATAATTTATTACTCAATCCTAACTCACACAAGATGTCTTAAAGATTGTTTCCAAGTGGCAAAGACAAACTTCAATCACTGAATTGCAGAGGTCATTAGAAAAGAAAACCCTCATATTTTGCTATTCTATTTTCACAATACCCTACCTGTAAAATGGAATTATCCAAATATATCCACAAAACCAGACTTTTATGCAGCTTCCTCTAGTGGTCTCGCCCTAAATCTTGTTTCTTTTGCTATTTACTCTAGTTAGTTGTTATATAAAAATACTGAAAGTCTGTGTTCAAATGCTGTAAACTTGGGTACGCGTTAAGAGTTTATACTTCAATGCACTTCTAACGCAAAAGACATGGAAACTAAGCCAAACCATACAGCAAAACATTTGTAACTGATATGAAGAGAACAAGCAGTGAAGTCAGCAAAAAACAGAGTTAGTATTTTAGTATTCCAATCTGCCCCCTTGTGAATACGCATTATAGTATATTTAGTTACATGGTCAAACTTGACTTTCCCACCACAAGATTCAGGAAGCAAGACAGATGTTCTGTTTTTAGCTGAGTCTTCAGATATTTGCTATGAATCATCCAAACTTTGTTTTGACCCTGAAAATAATATGTGTGTGTGTGCGCGTGTGTTTTAATAAGGTTTACCACTGTGCAATAGGTTTGTTTCTGTAATACTTCTTTGAGGGAATGAGTGACTAAAAAGACACAGGAAAGCATTCACCAAATTTGAAGGCCACTGAAAACAGATGACAATTTGATACAGCCCTAAAATACCACAAGAAGAACCAAAGCAGCTCTGCGATATGGGATGAGAAATTAATAGAGTGAAATTTTATATTAGACATCAGAAAGATTTCCTCAGAGGTTGAAATCATTAAGGAAGAAGAAGGAAAACCCAAATGTAGAACGTGACAACTGCCCATTACAAAACACATTTTATTGAACAATCCAACTCTTTTTAGGAGTGTGATTTTATAACATAACAGCCATCTCTAATTTCTGACTCTAAAATAAGGTAATTTAGAGTTAGAAACCTGCTCAGGTGATCTAACTGAAAATAATCACAATTATCTAAATTGCACAGAAGTATAAAATCATATCACTTGCAGTTCAGAAATACTTTAAAATCTGTGAATAAGTAACTTTTATTATAAGGTTTTTCTGCAAAGCAGCAGCCGTAACTTTTATGTCTAGCTGAATGCCTTCCATTGCCTGAGATTCTTTATTGCCTTCTTACACTAAAAACCATAACTTCCTGCAGCTTGTTCTGCCTTTGCATTTTTCCGCACTCTGAAAGAAGAGAAATACCCCCCAACCCTTTTTTCCCATTTCCCTCTTTCCCTTAAAGCCTCTAAAATTCCATTCAGCTTTGACACAGACCTTAACTCCCCCAAATTGACATGACCATTTATTCACTCATACATTGCCAGCAACAATGTGCACTACTACTTCAATAATAACTGACAAAACATATAATGAAGCAAAAACAATTTTTAAATTAAAGGTCAAGGACAAATTAGTTTTGAAACACCACTGCATATTGCCCCTGCAACAGTGCTAACCTCACCAACTCCCTTAATTGCTCATGCCTCCATCACAGAAGTTCACATGGACCTTCTACATACTTTAACAAAAAAACCCCCAAGCAACCAAACAAAAAAACCCCAACAAACAAACAAAAGACAAGAGCATAAGTGAAGTAAATAGGTATTACATTTCTGTCTCCTTCCCTCTTACCAGGATATTAGTCTCCACGTTGCCAACTAATGCAGTTGCCCTAGGATTCAAGCTGTGATTTGCCCCCTTGTGCCGCCTGCTATTCAGGAACGTGCTCACCATGACTGGTTCAAAAAAGAGGCTCCTCAAACCATTCAGTGCAATTCTTACTGTAAGGGTACCTCAGCAGTTAAAATACCTGACATTACACATCCCTCTGCTGTCAGTATCTGCCTAACCTTGCTCATTTTTACAGCTGGAATCAGCTGGAATGTGTCTTGTCCTCAGGAGAGCAGGCAGCAAGGGATTTACAGCACAGTAACTAACCTCAGGTCTCAAGTTTGCTTATTCCCTGGCATACCATTACATCCTTAGGGAAAGATAACACAGCTGACAAAAAATGTCACAGCCCCTCAAAATAAATAATATCTGTCCAGATTTGGTGTATGCTGCTAACTCTGTTTATGTTCCTGGCTTCCTCTCAGAACATTTCTAAAGCTGTGGACTTTATTAGAAGAATAAGGAAAGAGGAAGATTCAGCCACATATCTGTTCAGAAAAAGGACTGTGCCTGTTTCTCGTCACTCTGTAGCAGCATGTTGGCATTACAGCAACATGCAGTGGTGCTTGGGTAGCAATGTAAGAGCCTAATACATAAAACATGAAAGTTGCAGTAGAGAAAATTCAATAAAATTTCATGCATGCTTTTCATTTTTCATGCTAAGGATCAGAATATTAAGTACATTTCAGTGCCCAAATTTGTATTAAGTATTAAAGTCACTCACCATTCCTTGTATTCCATCAGAATTAGAAACTCCAATCAAAGCCCAGCATGTCAGAGACAGTACCATCAACAGTGTGATACCATACTTTCGTATGTGATAATTAAGCATCTCTAATTAAATGCTTATGTTCTAAATAGATAAGTAAGTACTTGTTTTGCCAGTATGGAACTGAAGGTAAGTGGGAACCAGACACTACTCTTCCTACACACATTCTAGGGTTCAGCACAAGTTATAAAATTAATATGGTTCTAGAAGAATGATCTTGATATTAATTCTAAAGCATCAGTAATTATGGGATTGTTTGTTAACTGCTCAGTTGTTGGCACAGTAAATATCAACAAACCCCCTCATATATAATATAACAGAACATAAAAAGAAATGGTCTGTGTACTGTTTTTATTGCTCAACTTTAAAAAGAAAAGCAGCTATTTTTTTACTAACCTCTACATACCAGATTTTAAGCTAAAGAAGTGCAGACCTTTTCACGCAAAAGATCACTTTAAACAATACACAACTTACGCATTTCTTCAACAACGTCTGGATCACATTCCCTGTATTTGTCTATTTCTGCCTTTAGCTGCTCTTTTTTCTGCCGAAGGGCAGCAAGTTCCTCCATTAGAGCTGAACGTTCTGCCTGAGGATTCAAAGTATGTTGAGAGATAAAAAAAAATACAAACGTTAAAAACAGTAATTATCACACAGAACATTTTTCAAAAAAACAATACATAAATTTAAAAGCTGTTTTCACTACTGCTTTCTGTCAATGAACCACTTGAGCATTTTATTTTATTACACAAAATTTTCAGTGACACTCAGTGATATCAAGTACAAACTGGAAGGAAAAAAATTAAGGCCAAAATGGATAAACAAAAGAACAATTTTCTAAAACCTTTGAACTCAATGAGATTTGACAAACTCCAAAGAGATCTCTTAATTACTGGGCTTAAAGGTTAAACAGTATTTAGGAGTTCTAGTCGTGTAATTAAAGACAGCATTACAGAAAAACCTACCATCCAGCCTTCCACAAACTGATATGCTGTGTATGAACACCCTCTGAATTTATTTTTCTTATTTGCCCACACCACTTGAGAGCAGCTGTCTCAAAAATAAGCTCAGATATTTATGACATGGTAGTCTGCTGGGAGTGTACACAATATCAACCTCAAAGATTCTATCGATCAATAAGAATCTGCAGACACTGACTCAACATGAGCTCTTCCACAGCCAACTCAGCACATACTTCTAATTCAGTCTGTAGTTACAGACAAACACTGTAACTGGCTGATACTCAAATAACTCATGCCAGGGCACTGGGTAGCCTAAAAGAGCCAGATATCACGAGTTTGTAAACCATCAGGTTTTTTACCAGTGGAAATCTCCATGGCAGCCCAGCAGTGTGAGGTGTTCATGGGGGTGGGGTTTTGTTTAGGTTTTGTTAGGGTTTTTTCCCCAAATATTCCATATTCCCAGTGCTTTTGCCAACAGTGTGGATTCGGCATGTTCTGAAAATGCAGAATGAATGGAAACCAAAAGTTTCCAGACGCTGAGGTATGGACGTAAGATACTCAGAGACCTACATTGTGATCTAGATTTTTCAGGACTTCTTCCTGATGTATAATCAGGAACCAAAATATTGGAAACATAAGCCAGAACAGGACTTCCAGGACCAATAGCTTTCTGTAGGGCAGGACACATGCTGGAGCAGACCAAATCTGGAACAGTTCATTTGGAAGGATGACAAGCACAACTGTGTGAGAAACCCACCCATGATTCCCTGATTACAGTTCACTGCGAGTGAGAGGATAAAGAATCACCGTTAAAGGTACTGGCAAAAAGCAAGCTTTAATTAAATTTGTGAAAGTGAGACTTCAACAGAGTTTGATGGCAAGGTTCACTCTATTACTTACTAGATAAAGGAAGCATACATAGGAAAAACCTAGTGTTTCTATAAAACAGTTTGGATTCAAAGATTTGGCACTTTACTACAAAATTCAATTCCTCCTGAAAGCTTCTGGCTGTCCCTCTTTTATGCATTTATTTATTGGACTTCAGACAGAGCACTGCAGTGCAAATCTGCAACACAGAACACCGTATCAAGTATTTCTAACTAATATGTTGCTTCATAAATATAGTAAACATAAAGCCTAAATATTATTTTGTAGTGTCAACAGCTTCAGCGCGCAAAGAGCACCAGGCTTACATGGCTGCTCAGAAGAGTAATTTAGCAATCTATACTACAAATAAGTTTTAAAAAAACAACTCCAACATCTAAATTTGTCGTTACTAGATTTGGCAGTTCAGCAACCATCGGTGACTTTGGTATACACCTCTGGGTAGTTCAAGTTTTAAGATATTTTTAAATCTGAAAGTACCTGGAAGGACTACACTAGTATTTACAAGAAGTGCATACTTGTAGCCCTATTTCCTTGTAGGATTGCCTACCCCTCAAAGCAACTTACAGTATCTTCACGTCCAATTTTTGATTTCTGAATGTTTTTTTGTAAAGCTTCTTTTTTCTGACTGCTTTCAGCAAACTGGTAAAGGAAATAAAGAACAAAATCAAACTTATTCAGTAACGTATATTAAATATACCTATAAAATGTGTATACATATTAATATATTTAAATAAACAGGTGGATATACCCTTTTAAGATATATATATATTTATAACTTATGTAATAAAAATAAACAGAAAATAAACACAAAAGCACCCAAATATAAATCCAAGGTTTAGAACCACAAAGAAGAATTACAGGAAGCAACTTAAAGTCTAAGAAATTTTTGCTACGGTGGCACATAATCTTGCATGTTCAGCATGGGACCAAACTCCTATTTCATACCATGATCTGGCATCGCTATGCAAAGGACTCCATAATATGGAGGCCTTGGATTAGATGATTTCCTTTGGTCCTTTTCCAGCTCTCCCTATTCAATGGAAGCAGTGACAAAGCTGTAGCAGGTTCACCTGCTCAGCAGCTGACACTGGTATTCCCAAAGTCTGATATGCCACTGGTATGGCCCCAATCCCTTTTACATGCTGGTGAACAGAAGCCTCTACAGCTCAAAGGCCTGTAAAGCGATGGCCCCCTTTTACTGTGCTCCCTCACACTCCTAGACCTCACAGAGTTCTCCTCCTTCACGTCTGAGGTAGAGGAATCTCACAGAAGTCACATCTCACAGGGCTGGTGTGAATGCTTCCATTTTCCTGTTATTCCAGGACAAATAAATTTGGAAAAGAGAGATCTCTCTCCATTAACCTGCCACCCATCTTGAACCAGGACCTTCCAATTTAGTTGGCAGTTTTCCAGAGATACTTTGGAAACTATTTTTAGCTGAGCAGGACATATGACTTGACACGTACACAGCATCGGACAAAGCCTCTTGAAAGATTAAATGAGATGAATGAGAATTTAAAAAAAAAACAAACTAATAAAATATAGTTTGAAAACCAGTTACTGCATTTGAAATCAATACAAAAGGGGAAAAAAAGAAAAGAAAAAACAAAGGAGAAACAATAGCATGCTTTTTAAGTACTTTTTGGTTTAGTTTCAAGATGCTTTGAGCACCAGTCAGGTAGAACATCAGTATATCAGACTAATTGTGAAAACAAGGATGGCTGTCAGAGCCCAGGTTTTATTCTGCCCTACGCCAAAACCCCTCACACGAAGCCTCCACTTCTACATTCCCTTTCTTACTGAGGATCCCACTGAGTGGAAAAGCATTTCTAGACATTTCTTGCAATCCCTAGCCTTGATAATTTAACCATATCATTTATATCATGCAGCTGAAAGACCAAGGCCCCATTCATACAAAGCAAACTGAATGGTTTTGGACCTATAGTCACTTCTCAATTTCTATTGAAATTAATGTTCAGTTCATATTTTCAGAAATACATATTACAAGTAAATTCATAATAAGTATCAGGCACAGCTTATTGCCAAGTCTTGGACATCAGCCAGAACAGAAAAGCCAGAAAAGAAACTCCATCCTGGTGGTCCAGACAGATTAGGACCCAGCCCAACTGCAGCTCACTGGGTTTAGTGGTTCCTTTTATAGTCCAATTTTTGAATATAATTACTCTTTCTGTGTTCATGCATGTGTAAGCATACATACAGACAAGAAAGTTTCCTTTCTAAAAGAAAGTTTTAGTTTTTCTTCAATTTACATAGAAAATATACTAATGGTAAGACATACATAATTTGAGGAAAAATATGTCCAGTTGTTTAGTTATTGCTCTCAGGGAGAGTAACCACAGAGACAGTGTAGGTTTCAGTATGTGGCTTGAAGTACACCAACGTCTTAATTTTGGTGGATAGCTAAACAGTACTCCTGCTGGGCTTTCCAATTCTTAAAAAATTAGGTGTGTTAGTCCCCACATTATGCCATACTAAACAAAGGGATTATACAGTTCAGAAGAGGACAAGTACTCAGGTGCAGAAGCCCAGGGAAGACAAACGCCAGAGCACAACATCATTTGGCACCTCTGAACAAAGAATTTTTCTGGTACAAAACTGGCAGAGGAGGTAGAGAAGACAAGGAGCTTATCTAGGCCCTTATACCAAAAGTGCAAAGAAGAAGCTGACGCTCTCTGCAAGAGAGGCCATAAAGGTGTTGTTTTCCCTGTTTTTTCATATTTACGAAGTTCTAAAGGAATTTTTTTTGCATTCGCTAAAATGGATGCACAGAAGGAGCTCTCAGGGCATTGCAAGTCATAAAAGCTGGTTTCCAGCTTGGAAGCACGTTTCACAGTATGGCATCTTATTATTTTCTTGATCCTCTGTATTCTACATAATTTAATCATGAAAGAGACACTAATGACAAACTCTGGAGAGAAAGACATTTCTTAGATTCTCACCTAAATAACACGCAAGATTGTCGTGCCATGAGGTTCATCTGCCTAAAAGCAAAGATGATTTTTACACAATCTTATTTAAGATTTAGCTTTCTTCTCTCACAGATTTTAATTTTTTGGATGTTTCGCGGTTTTTTAATTGTCCTCACAACCAAAAAATTTACAAAATAAAATGAAACCACAGCTCGTTGTGTATTATTTGGAAGTCACAGTGAGCATCCCCATGACAACAAACAAAAGATGAGAATAAGGAAAGGCATAGCTGAAGGCAGCAAGATATTGAAGAAAAGCTAACGTAGGACAAGGATACAAAGGGTAGGAACAGATGGCCAGGGTCTGTGCAAGAAATCTATGACAAAGGGAGAAGCAGGAAGGCTTGGATACAGAGGTGGTAACACAGCTGAAAATAACTGTAATAAGAGAAGGAAAGACAATCAGCAAGGATAAAGGAATCTGAGGAAGGATGTATACAGATGATACAATACTTAACTGAAAGGTAAGGGCAAATGGCAGATGACAGCTGACAGGTTATAGGGCAATAAGAGAAAAAGCAGAATTTGCAAGCGTTGTGTATGTATGACAGCAGAGGATGACATCTGGACAAATACGGTAACTTACTTACCCACTCACCAGTTGTAGAAAAGCCTGATTGCAAAGAACAATAGTAGCAGATGGAATATTTCAATCTTTGGAGCAACCTTGGGACATTTTTCAAGGGAATTGGCAAACAATTTCTCAAGGGACATTAACCACTCAGAGAAATGTGACTCCTGCCAATAACAGTGAGACTGATCCAGTGAAGAAGATATTGTCTCTCCTCTATGTCTCTTGAAAGAGATGACTGGTCTGACACATGAACAACTTTGTGCCACAAGTGTAAGTGACCAGGTATGGAAAAGAAGTACAGAAAGCTTCATGTCTCCAGTCTATCTGACTGCTCTGAATCAGCATATGATTAAGCAAGATGCAAGAAAGTGGCAAAAATATCATTTAGGGGAAAACTGTTCAAAGAATGAGGGGAGACTAAATAATTAAAAATTAAGATGTTAAAAAGATTCTTCACAAGAGCATTTTCAGTGTTTTCAAAACACACTGGGAGCCTGCAAGAAGACGGTTTAATGAAGAAAGTAACTAACATCTATAAAACAGGAGATTTGGGGAACAGTTTCTTTAATTTTACAGACCAGTGTGGTCAATTAAGTGACCACTGGCCTAGCTTAGACATTAATGCAATCCAAAGTCCCCCAAAGGGACGATTTTTCCTACTCTGCAAAGGTTTCACAATGTTTAGCCATACATTTGTGCAGCAGTTTGTGTGTGGAAAGTGCTATGTGCTGATGATAACCATCACTTCCATCACAGGCCTTGAGGTCTGCTTTGTATCAAAGGATACAGATTAGACGTACACACATAATTTATAATATAGTATGAACACATTAATACCAGGGTTCCACTTCAGCAAGTCAGTGCTGTACATCTGGAAAAGGAACATTAACCCCAACACATAACAGCAGCAGTTTCAGTTCTATTCCTTCTCAAAACTTGCCTGATAGACTTTTATTCTAGAATAAAAAGCGATTTTTTTTTTCTCCAGCCCAAGTTTTTGTTGGTTCTATGCCTTCTGGTTCCTAGTTCTTAACCACTTTAACCACCCATATCCCACCAAACATGTAGCTTGTCTCACTAGCATATTAAAATATCTACAAACCTCGTGTAAGCCATGCAAACACATACCCTGAGTATGTTCAGTGGACAAGAATCAAACCAAGGTCTCATATGCTAACCACCAAGAGCACTCACAGCTGTTAGCCCACTGTCATTATGGTCTTAAAGAGAAATATCATACATTTGGTTTTCTTTCAGCCAAAACACTCAACCAGTAATGGTATTAAAAACTACCGCTATAGTGAGCATCACTCACTGTGGCACTACAAAAGAATAAGAACATCCATTTTTTAATTGTTTGTATCTTGCAAAGTTATTTACCTTAGGTTTGAAACTCACTGTGCTTTGTTTCAGGCTAAAGGCAAGGCTAGTTTTCTTCTGGCTTATACAAAAGCGGTTCAAGAGTTTTAGGGTGATATTTGCAGTAGGTATTTCTTTCCTACATTAAAACTAACCCACTACTAAAAAACTTAAATGGAATTGACAGACAGCATGGAGAGAAAGTACTTCAAAGCATTCCTCTAGATTCTAAAGACAGATAACAAAAAATTGAAGCCAAAAAGCAGCCTAATAATATATAGAGAGCAAAAATGCAAAGATCAACAGCCAAAGAACAACCTGGAAATATTGAAAACAGACCGGTTGTGTTAGAAGAAAGGCACAGAACACTGCAAAAAGAAACCACTCAGCAATTACTGTTGACTAAAACAATAAAACTTTCAAGAGGAAGAAAAGTTCCAAAGGGTAACAGATTGAAGTGCAGAACTGCTTTCTAAAGTACTGCTTTCTAAGTAAGCATACAGCTACTTCTTTTACATACCTGGTCACAAATACGTACTTCCAAGGGCCTCCAAATAGACATAAGCAAACTTTTCAGTCAGCTAGTTGTGGTCACAGCAGAGTAGAGAGCTTCACCATGGCCTGCAATACTGCAGTTTCCGCTCTGCTCTCAGGATGCAGCACACCACCCATGAAATGTCATTTCTCCATATAACCCATCCAGTGAACTGAACTACA